GTTGCATTACCCCCCTGCACAACTACACGATGCTATGCCACGCTAACCTACCCGACGCTCTGCGATCCCCACTGTCCAAATTTTCGTCGGATCGCATCGAGTACAGTCGAAGACAAAAGAACCGGACACTCATATTTTTATTCAAACTACATGTATTATTGTCGTTATATTAATTACAATATACTTATTTTAATATAAACCAAATTAACTGTGATAAAAATTAATTAGTTTTTATTTAAAAAATTACTTTTAATTGTTTGGTAGAAAATTAATCGAAACACCGGAATACGATTTTTTGATATAATGAATTTAACTAACAATTTATTGTACTTGCTTCGGCGGTACATATCCTAAAATTGGAACAATTTATTACACGGTTTTGCTCATAAAATTTAATTAACAATTTGTTTCATAGTTTTGCTCGTAAAATTACACCATTTTGTAATGTCGGGTAGCAGCAGAACAGGACACTCATATTTGTTGTAGTTTATTTCAAACTAAGTACATGTAATTTTGTCGTTATATTAATTACAACATGTTATTTTAATGTAAACCAAATTAAACGAGATCAAAAATGCATAAGTTTTTATAGAAATTGTTTAATTATGATGGTTAGGAGTAAATTTATTTAAAACAATTAAGTTTAACAAACAATTTATTAGTTGGTTGTGCTCATAAAATTTAACTAACAATTTATTACAAGGTTTTGCTCTAAATAGTGCATTAAGAACAAAAGATGCGTTGCGATTGTGATAGTGATTATTGTGATGAACGTTGTGGACTGTACGCGACGTGTTTGCGTCGGATAGATGTGCACACCCCACCAAAACGTGGCAAGGCGTCGGGTAGCATCGGGTAGCGTCGCATGGCATAGCATCGGGTTAGTGTGTTCCCGGCTTAATGGTAAACCTCAGCCTATGTTTAGTGTCACGACGGGTTGTCAGATTGCTGTAATGCGAGTATGGGAGTAAAACAAGGCTTCTTATTAAGTCCAATGCTTTTCCCTTGCTTTATTGATGATGGTCTGTACGATTATATAGAAGGCGGGATCAAATTAGGATATAATACGACAAAAATGCTTGCATACGCCGATGATGTTGTCCTGCTTGCAACTGATAAGGTGACACTACAAAAAATGATCTCCGCATTTATCTGGAGGTTAACATGGAGAAATCGAAAATTGTTATTTATATACTAAATGGTGACGAGGGGCCAGTGGATGAATATAATTGGTTTTTAGTTGTTTCCAAAAAAAAAAATGTGTGTAATTCATGTCTGTTAACGTAGAGGACTTATGATTTCGTAAATTATATTTAGAATTATTTTAATTTACAGTAACTTACTTGTAATTCAAATGGAAGGCAGGATATGTACGTAAAAAGCTTTTACCCTAATCTGAACCTGTACCTAAACATAATCTCAACTATAATCCTTAAACCCACCTAACCTATGCCTTTCCTAATTCCTTTCGTAACTTTAACCTGTACTCTTACTCCAACTTAAGATAATTCTAGTTGAACCCTAATGGTAAATTAATTAAGGTTTTTAGTTGAGATAAAAAAGTCAGTGTCAGGAGCGGTATTCGAACCTTCGGCTAGACATGCCGCTACTCTACCACTTGAGCTACCATGACTCCGATCCACTCGGACACCAACTTCCCATCTCAACCCCATCTAATGGTAAACCTCAGCCAATGTTTGGTGTCACGACGGGTTGTCAGATTGCTGTAATACGAGTTTGAGAGGAAAGCAAAGCTGCTTATTAAGTCCATTGCTTTTCCCTTGTTTTATTGATGATGATCTGTACGATTATACAGAAGGCGAGATCAAACACAACTTATGTCACGGAATCTAACCTAACACAACCTTCCCCTAAACTCTAACTTAAACCATTACTGAGACTAGCTCTAACCAACATATAAACTTAACCCAAAACAGGCCCATGATACACACATTTCAAGTGCTCAACAATAATCACAGATTTGTTTTTATAAAATTTCCGGGCTATGCTGGGATTCGATTTTATCCAAATATTAAAATGAAATTGATTAAATATCATGTGATGGAGGTATGCATTGACCTTTAAAATTTCTTTGCATTACTTTTTATAGGACTTAGAAGTCGGTTAATAAAGTTGAAGTTAAGTACGTTAAGTACGAACAATTTCCTGTGAAATGTCCTCATGAAGGGAACTATAAATGGTTCATTGTGTTTTGCCAAGCAGACAGACATATCTTTCTCTCCGGGCTCCCACAGCCTAAATTCGGATGATAAATCAATTTGCCCGCTCCCATTACTTATCAGGTTTCACTCCGAAATTAACAAATCCCATTTCCTGGGGCGGCCTACTAAATTTCAGCAACCTATTACCGACCTCTTCATTGTAATATTCAAACTGGATAATAGCGGGGCATCTTAGGTATTCAGCTTACAAATAAGAAATGTTCACACGTACTACTTGCGGTTTTTACCAGTTCAAAGGTAATCACTACGACTTTGTTAAAAAATTAATACTTTAACTCTGAAAAATTAAAAATTCTATAAAAGAGAACCAATTTTGTCTACGACTGATTCTAAACACGAGGTAAGTTTTGATTAGGGATGACAGATAATGTACAGAACAAAAGAAAAAAAAAAAACGACCACTTTAGAACTTCAGAATAGGAAATCTTAGATAAAAAAGAACTATCGCAGCGGAGGAATACACAGAATGAAAGCGGGTGTACTACTAGGAAGAGTTCTATGTCCCTTCTTAATTCTCAATTTATCTCGGAATAGCAAGTCACCGCATAACTTGCAGAGAGAGAGAGAGAGAGAGAGAGAGAGAGAGAGAGAGAAAATGAAGGAGAGAGGGCGCAAGAGTGTGTGGGAGTGAGAGAGAGAGAGAGAGAGAGAGAGAGTGAGAGAGAGAGAGTGAGAGAGGGAGAGGAAGGAAAAAAGAGAAAAACGACCTAGATATAACAGTTATAATTATAATCATACAGTAATACAAAAAAATTATTATATGTATAATTATTCTATAAGAATTATAGAGAACTTAATTCTATAGATTAATGAAATGTCTATACATAGAAAATTACCAAAAATATTAATAAAAAAAATGCATTTTTCATTTTTTCTAAGATGCATATACAACGGATTCATCTTGTATCATGTAAAAATGGCTGAGAGAGAGAGAGAGAGAGAGAGAGAGAGAGAGAGAGAGAGAGAGAGAGAGAGAGATAGGAAGCAAAAGAGAAAAATGAAATCATAAAAATTTGCGAATAAATGTTCATTTTTCAATATTATAATTTTATCCATTATGTTTAGTGGCCTAATTGACCAAATTACTTCTTTCAAGTAATTATTCTTTTTATGTAAGCTCTTTAAGCTCTTGGTTGAGATGAAAAAGTTGGAGTCACGAGCGGGATTCGAACCCACGACCTCGGCTCAATACGACCCTGCTCTAACCACTTGAGCTATCGTGACTTTTAAATTAAAAACGTACGGGTATAAAAAAACAAACAATTGGAATAAAAAGACACAATTGAAAAACAACACTCACAAATTTTGAAACTTTAATTAATAGTTTAAAAAGTTAACTAATATGGACATGTATTCATCAGTCCATTCTGTAAAGAAAATGTTATAAATTTTATATTTCAAAATTTCAGATTTCATTTAAATGTTATGTAAGCTACGTTGTACGGGAGAACTAAACATTCTGATATTTTAATTATTTTCTATAATTATTTTATTTACATACTTTTTAATATTCTATTCCTTTTAACAACTAGTAAATATTTAGCAGCATTACAGTATTTCTATAGAATGATTGGTTAACGTTTAATTTCGTTTCTGTAAATTCGTTCGTATTTTCATTAGCTAAAATCTTAAAAATTTGTGAATAAATGTTCATATTTGTTTACCTTTCAAATTATTGATTGGGATTTAAATAATCTGACGAAAGAAATGTACTGAAAGCATGACGAAAGTTTTTTTTTTTTTAATACAAAAATATATCTTATTATGCGAATTCAGTTGCCATTAAACCAAACCAAAAAAACTCATTTTTTGGTCACTCAAAAAACAAACTCGTCATCAAAAAATGACGAAAAATATGCAACGAGAGAGAGAGAGAGAGAGAGAGAGAGAGAGAGAGAGTGGGTGAGTGAGTCAGAGAAAGAGAGATACAGGGAGGGAGGGAGAGAGAGTGAGAGAGAGAGAGAGAGGGTGAGAGAGAGAGAGAGAGAGAGAGAGAGTGAAATATAAGGAGATAAATACACTTATGTATAAAATAATAAGTATTTGTAATTTTATAATTGTTATCTTTGTATAGGTACAAAATTTCAATATGAAGTAAAAATTAAGTCAGAGAAACTTCGGGAAGGAAATGATAAAGATGACCTATATATAACAGACAAAAGAGAGCAAAAAGAGAGAAAGTGAAGGAGACACATTAACAAAATAATAATTCTATGTCTCTACATTTTTTTGCATAGATAAGTTAGAGAAATTTATAAAAAAATATATTATTTTTGAAACGTAAGTTTATAATATCGCTGCAATATTTTATTTATATCAGTTGACATTTTATCCAATATAAAAAATAAAGTACCAACGCCACGTTATACGACTAAACGGAGTGTTCAGAAAACCAGTAATGCCGGGCGTGTCTGGAGTGGATAAAAGAAACATCGAAACTGGTGAAGCGGGTTGTACCTCACGACGATCGTATTTCCTTCCATTTCAAGCCTTCGGCTTTGATCCATCTAATAAAATCACAGGAAATTCGATTTGGATTAAAAAAAAAATCGTGGACGTTCAAAAAGCAGACAGTTTAAAAAAATAGTAAATCCTTCACTAAGAGGTTTTCTTGATGAGTTTATTTTCAAGTTTTATAATTCAACTTTGAATTTTTAATCTTGACATCTTTAGACTATTTTTAGGTTTGAAATAGAGTCCAATAGGCCAATATGAAGAAAAAGAACGTCAATAATTCATGGATTGACTTGAGAGCAATCTTCCAAAAATATTCCACATGTTTCACATGTGAAGGCAAAATTTCCCAATTCCCTTTTCAAATTTTCAATTGAAATTCTAAATTCACGAGGTACAGGTCCGTGTAGACCTCCAGCATGGAGGGCAGCGTCAAAATCACGAGAGAGAAGCTAAGGGAGATCGTCCTGCCGATAAAAGGAAGGGTCCAGCTGGATAAGTTCACCATAGACAACGGATTCATGTCCGTCGAGCTTATCAACTACGGTGCCACAATCACGGCCATTTATCTACCGGACAAAAAGGGGATCGACGACGATATCGTTCTCGGATTTGAAAATCCTTTGGGTAAGATACAGTAGGACATTGTTCACACAGAACGCTGGAAAATCATTTAGTGATAGATAACTAACAATTTATTACCTGGTTGTGTTCTTAATAACGCGTATTCTCTGGTCTTCTGTAAAGCCTTAAATCACCTAGGCATCTAGTAAATAAACGACAGTAGTTCTTGTGAAATAAAATCCCAATCTTCAACATGAACTGTTTGAAGTTCAACGCTTGTTGGAATGATGTCTAACCAGTCTCTTTATCCTGTCTCGTAAGTGTTCTACAGAACGAAATTTTTGTTTCACCAAAATACTAACAAGACACGGAAATTTCAAAGCTTACCTGCACCGGCTCCATAGAGCTAACGGTCCTCTATGTCCCGTCTGGGAATCGATGACGAGGTCAAACATAGATTTTCGAACCGTTACTTCTTTGAAAACGCGAGGGAACCTCTAAAAACTTCTTTTGCTCCATTCTTGGCCACCGATTCACCTCTCAATAAATTAGCTAGGAAAAGAGAAGCTTTGAGGCCCTCAAGCCTGTTAGTCGAGTCAATAAAGTACCTGACTAATTTATAAGTTTTTTAATGATATTTAAGTTACATGGTTGGATTTAAGCGCTACCCTGTACTCTTAAATCTGGGATGGTGACTCCGTATTCCCATTTTTAAAAAAAATATTGTGTATATTATTTGGAGATCGTGAGATGCGGTCTGGTGTGACGTAGGTTTTAGAAAAACATTTTCTTTATCGTGCCAACGTTTCGATCTTTAATTAGATCATATTCAGGGCCTGGGATTGATAAACATTGTTTAAGTTTTACAAATACATGTAGGATGTGGAAAAAATGAATTTATACATTGGTAGAAATTTTAGATTCAATCTATATATCTATCATGTATATCTTGTATGTATATTTATTATTTATGAGTACTCACTCAAAGTGTTTATTTTCTGTGTAGATATGTCATTCTTGTGTGTCGGGTTGAGAGTGCCAGTGAGATATTGATGTTGTATGTTTATATATGTTGGATTTTGAAGGAGTGGGGACGAAGTATGGATCGAAATCCATTTTTCTAAGAAGAGTCGGCTTCTTTGAGGGGGTGACCACTGGGTAAAGGTTCGGCCTGATAATCCTTTCTGGATTGTATAGACGGGGATAATTAGGGAAAGGAAAGCCAAATTGTTGAAAAATTCGACTATGTACAAATGTTTGATGTGTGGAATGTGATGATTGTTTTACATGTTATATGTTTCGTGTGATGTGATGATGATATATGTATGTATGTTATTGATATTGAATTTGATTGATGATATTAGCTGCGACTGCGTTTACATGAGTCTGTTCTCTAATTGATGCTGTGTTTATCTCTGTTGATGTAAACCATTTCTAAAAAGATACTACATGTTTATGTTCTGTGCGTAATATTTTTGGATTGTTGAGCTAGTTTTTTTTTTTTTTTTCGTTATGATCTATGCATATTAGCCATGGTGACAATTCTTATATGTGTGTTCAAATGGGGGGGGGGGTTATCGTGAAAAAAAGGGCTAGAGGTGACGGTGGGAATCGAACCCACGACCTCGGCGTGAGAGTCTCTCATGCTAACCACTCGGTTACCGCGGTCCCCTAATTTCTAGCATTGTATAAATTCATTTTTTACTACATGCTACATGTATTTGTAAAACATAAACAATATTTATAAATCTCCGGCCCTGAAGATGATGTAATTAAAGATCGAAACGTTGGCACGATAAAGAAAATGTTTTTCTAAAACCTAGTCATACCAGACCGCATTTCACAATCTCCAAATAATCATTGGCTAACGGTCAGTAAACACCACACATTGTATATATTGTTTTTATTGTATTTGTTTTATTAGAAAATGTATTCGAAAGGGTTAATCAACACGGTGGGGGGAAACCTAATATATTAGGTAAATTAATAATAAGAAAAATATTTTCCTACTTTCCTTGGGTTTCCCTTTTAGTATCAGGCATACATTAAAAGGGGAGGCCCAAGGAAAAAGGGGAAATATTTTCTTTCTTCTGGACGTATCGTAAGGTCCCCTAAATTTGCAAACCATAGAAACTAATTTAATGGCCTTGGTCCGCCGTTATGTGGGTCTCCCTTAGGTGTAAAAATGTGCAATGAAAAAAGTGTTCTGTGGAATTCATGTCAGACGAACAAGGCAGTTCATTGTGGTAATCCTCAAATCCTGCGACAATAATGGGCGACATTCGAGCTACATGTGGTCAGACATTCTACGCATTAAACGAAGTTGTCCTCAATAAATGCAGCGAATGGGACGACAGCTTTCAGAAGAAATTCCTCAATGTACCTTAGTGCAGTCAAACATCTACCTTGATAATCAGTTCGGTACGGGCATGGCTAATTCCACCCCTACCTTTAAAAAGGCTAAAACCTACACGTGGCATTTAAAGCAAAGCGTTCCCGTTTTCTCCACACACTGTTCCGATCATCTAAACACCATAATCCAAACCGGTACTCCTTTGTGAGAGGACAGTCGCTTTTGTACTCGATGCTTCTCCAGTCGTGGAGAATCTGAAGTGGACACCTAGAAACTAGGCTATTCTCACGAAGCCTTCTGATGAAATGCTTTACTGCCCACTCTTACAATACAGATCGTTTGGTGTTGACTAGCCACCAAAGATGTCAAATAACAGTTCCGTAATTCAGTAAGAAGCAAGCTCTTTGATCGAGATTCAAATGGCCATCATAACTGTCTTTGAAAAGGCTAAAACCTACACTTGCCATATAAAGCAAAGCGTTCTACATTTCTCCACACACTGCCCTGATCATCTAAACGCCATAACCCAAACCGGTACTCCTTTGTGACAGGAAAGCCACCTATCCTTCAAATGTCCAAGCTAGTTGGTGATTTGCAAACAGTCGCCTTTGTACTCGATGCTTCTGCAGTTGTGGAGAACCGGTTGTGGACACCTAGAAACTAGGCTATTCTCACGAAGCCTTCTGATGAAATGTTTTACAGCGCACTCTTACAATACAGATCGTTTGGTGTTGACCAGATATCAAAGATGTCAACAGACGGTTCCGCAATGCGGTAGGAAGCAAGCTCTTAGATCGAGATTTAGGTGGCCATAAACTGCTGTAAACCATTTTGGATTGAAGAGCGCGGCATACCAAGGTCTACTGTGCAACTGGACGCTATGTTGTCCATAGCATCTGCTGAGGAGAGATCTTCTCGATTTAAGAAAACCGTTTAACTCACTCGGCAAATTGGTTCTGGAAAGACTGAAATTGAACTGATTTTTTAATTTTTAATTGATAATGGTATGAAAAATGTAGTGGTTTGACCCTTCCGCCACACATTTATGGTTAACCTCTCCTTTGTGACAAGAATTAACTTTATTTTTTTCACTTTACTTCAATCCCATGTAGTTGTGACATGAGAATTTTATGATTTCAGACTACCTCAAGAGTCGTAACCCTTATCTTGGAGCGACGATCGGTCGTTACGGGAACCGCATTTCCGGTGCGAGGTTCAAGATATCAGGCCAGACGTACTACACGTCGATGAACTCGCCCCCGGACACTTACCACGGCGGGATCCAAGGGCTTGACAAAGTAAGACGATTAGCCGTTGATCAATTATTTCGACTTAACCGTTCGTACCCGTACAGAAAATCTGGGACGCCAGGCTCGAGGACAACACCCTCGTCATGACGTACAAAAGCTACGACCTGGACGAAGGTTTCCCCGGAGATTTGTGCGTCAAAGCGAAGTTCATACTCACAATGCAGAACCAGCTAATAATAATATATTCGGCGATCACCAACCGGAAAACACCAGTGAACATCCAGAACGAGTGTTATTTTAACCTTGCCGGACACGTGAGTTTCATTCTAAGACTTTTCCTGCTTCTTTCTATTTTTCCAACTACGTACTTAATAGATATTTTTTAAAATTAAATTTATTTATTAAAACTGGTCTTATCAGACCAACCATAAATTTTAAAATCATATTATATAATAAATAAATGTTTACATTCTTATAAACCCATTGGTACATTAAGATTTACATTTCACTATTCACTATTAACTTTTAACTACACAAGTTCATATGGTTTCGTTCTTTTTAATCTTCTGACCGTGTTTCGGTTATGTAAGAGTTTGGTCGCTTCCATATTCTCATGCTGGCTGAGGCGAGCCTGGTGTTTTGGCGGCAAATCTTTGTATTTCCGCCGTGACCTCAGGGATCTTAAGATCCCTATGTAAGACGTACCAAGGTGTATTGACCATGTTACGTAAGATTTTATTTTGGAGTGCTTGTATGATTTTGATATTGCTATGTTTGGTACAACCCCATAGTTGAATACCATATGTCTACATAAGCTTTATGACTTGTTTATATAATAATATTTTATTTTTTGTAGCAAAGTTGGACGTCCTATCAACCAGTACAGTTGTCTATACCTTAAACCTATTTCTGTCCTTTTTTTTCTTCACGTGTTCGTTCCATCTTAGCCTGGCATCTAAGGTCATTCCCAGATATTTAGCTGTATCGCCGTATGGTATAATAGTTCCATCGATTATTAAAGATTAGATGAACTGATTTATGCTGATTTAGCTTGATTTTCCATTTTTTTGTCCATACGTTTATTACAATCATTTTGGAGGATTTTGGTTGAATGGGTGATAGTGTGTGATAGACCGCTGTGTCATCTACAAACTTTGCAATTTTTATTTCATCTATTTTCGGAAAATCACTGGTGTATAACAACTAAAGAAGTGGACCCTATATGCTACTTTGTGGCACTCCTGCATTTATTGTTTTTAATTTTGAATTACAATTAATTAAGGTTTTTAGTTGAGATGAAAAAAAGTTAATGGCACGAGCGGGATTCGAACCCACGTGACCTCGATCCACTCGGACATCAACTTCCTATCTCAACTCCACCTTATAAGTTTTCCCTCCTTTGTTGTTGATGTCCGAGTGGATCGAGGTCACGATAGCTCAAGTAGTAAAGCAGCGGCGTATCTAGCCGAAGATCGTGGGTTCGAATCCCGCTCGTGCCGTTAACTTTTTGTCATCTCAACTAAAAACCTTAATTAATTGTAATGTATTAATTGGTCAAGCGGACCACGAAATTAGTGAATTTAATTAATTTTGAATATTGATCTTCTTGTTTGACTCTAAACAGTCTGTCATTTAGGTAGGAACTAATAACCTAGACATATTGCTTTGGTAGCATCCCTTTTAGTTTTCTGATGTGTCCTTCGTGCCAGACCTTGTCAAAAGCTTGTGAGACATCAAGGAAGATAGCAGAACAAATTTGTTTTTCTTCAAGAGATTTTTATATTTCGTTACTCTGCGAATTTGGTCTATTGTTGAATGTCTTGTTCGGAATGAAATTTGGTTGTCAGGGATTTTCTTTTTTCTACAATGGGTTTTATTCGTTTTTATAATAACTTTTCTATGAGTTTAGGTACTGTCGGTAGTAGCGATATTGGTCTATATGATTTGACCTCGGTCGCCGGTTTTTTTAATAGATATAACAAACAAATTTACTCAATTCTCGCTCAGTTTGAATGACTCGTCATCGAATGACTCGCCTGACCATAGAATCATCTATCAGGGTTCGATGACTTTAATTGCTTATTTTTAATGAAATTTGACGTAGAATATTTAAAAAATTCAAGGATGACGGTTATTGTTAAATTCATAATCAGCCAAAACAGAGAACATTGTACCGCTAGGATTATCTGCAATGGAGCTTATGGTGAGCTTTGTTGGCCCGTAAATTGTATTTTGTATCTATGATCAGCGTATTAATTATCTCAATTGTAATGTTTATACGGGGGAATGGTGATTAGAGTTACAGTAGCTGTTCCAATCTAAATGATCGTTCAATAATCTTCAATATGTGAAGCCATATTGCCAAATAAACGTTTGATCATTTTGTATCTGAGAATGACGGTTTGATTATATTGTATTGATTTAAGTTTAATCACAAGTGTTTGTATGTTGTACAGTTTGTGCAGTACAGTTGCTCCTATGATCGGAAAGTTATTGTTTTTATAACACAAAACTTGTGTTGATTTATTTTTCATATTTGTATTTCTTCTTCAAACATCTAAGGTGCATCTAACATAGAATAAAAATATTTTTATACTAAGGGCCATAAAAGCGAAACTTGAATACAAGAATGACTAGCTTCACTTTTTCAAAGCATAAAAAATAAATATTATCAATACATATAGTAAATTACATTTTCTGAAACAAATACAGCACGCACGCGCGCACACACGCGGACACATACATTCATACACATGATCTCTCTTTTATTTATTACCTATCCTATCTTTATTTCTCTCCTGCTTACTCACACTCTGTATGTCCACCACTTGTTATTGTTTTATTATTATTATTTCCATTTTTCACGGTTTTATATGTTATACGTTTACTCCCTCTTTTTCTCTTTTCCACTCTCTATTTGTTTTTATTGCTAAATTTTCCCACTCTCTTTCTAGCTGTTTTAAAGTAATGAATTTCACTCTCGATAATTAATAAGTAATAATTCTCTCTCTCTCTCACTCTCTCTCTCTCTCTCTCTCTCTCTCTCTCTCTCTCTCTTACTTTTTATCGTTCCAATTGTTTTATTTATTTTCGCTTTTATTCCCACTCTTTTTTTTTGTTCTCACCATCATCCTACTTATCTCCCTCCTCTCTTTTTCAACCTCACACTAATGTGCTCTTGCTTATTATCTTTCTGGTTCTGTTTTTTTCTCGATATCATTTTTTGCTCTCCTTCTCTTTTTCAAGCAAACACACAATTTCTCTCTTTATCACTCACCCACTTTCTATCCCAATTTCTAACGTTCTCCTTCTCTCCCAATCCCATGCACTCCCACTCCCTCTCTCCCTCATTCTTACTCTCTCTCTCTCTCTCTCTCTCTCTCTCTCTCTCTCTTTTGTCGTTCTTACTGTTTTCTCTGTCTTTTTTGCCATCTTTCTCTTTTCCCCCACGCTTTCTATGTTTTCACCCTCTCTTACTTCTACTGGTCTGTCCGTCTGTCTATCTGTCTGTCGACTCTATTATAATACAATAATATTTTTTTTATTATTGTATTAGCATCCTTCTAACTATATCTAGGTCACCTTTCTCTCTTTTCTCCTCTCTCTCTCTCTCTCTCTCTTTCTCTCTCTCTTACTTTTTATCGTTTCAATTATTTTATTAATTTTGGTTTTATTCCCCCTCTTTCTTTTTCCCTCACCCTCTTCCTACTATCTCTCTCTTGCTCTTTGTTATTATCTTTCTGGTTCTGTTTTTTTCTCACTATCCTTCTTTTCTCTCTTTCTCTTTTTCAAGCAGACACACAATTTCTCTCTTTATCACTCACCCACTTTCTATCCCAATTTCTATCGTTCTCCTTCTCTCCCAATCCCATGCACTCTCGCTCCCTCTCTCCCTCATTCTCTCTCTCTCTCTCTCTCTCTCTCTTTTGTCGTTCTTACTGTTTTCTCTGTCTTTTTTGCCATCTTTCTCTTTTCCCCCACGCTTTCTATTTTTTCACCCTCTCTTACTCCTACTGGTCTCTCTGTCTGTCTGTCTGTCTCCCTCCCTCTCTCCCCCTCTCTCTCTTTTCTTTACTCTTGTGCTCTTTTTCCTTACTATCTTTTTCTCACTCTGTCATTCATTCTCTTTCGGCCCTAATTTTGCTATATCAATTCCTAACATTCCCCCTCATTCACTCTCCCTCTTTCCTACACCATCATTCACTCACACTCTTTCATATTTACTCATTTATTCTCTCTTTAATTTATATAATTTCTGAAAACTTTTAAATGCTAGTTATTTGCAGAAACTTTAGTTTTACCAATACACAAGCACATAAAGTTCGTTTATATTTACGAATGGTTTGATGTGCCGGATGTAACTTTTGGATGCTGTAAAACATTGAAAAAGTAACCCTAAATTCGTATCGTTAACATTAGCATTAATTGAAATAACTATAATATTGAATACATTCCTTACTTATTTGAGAGAAAAAACTTCATCTAAACAAATTTGGAATATGGATTTATACAATTTTTTAATGTGAAAATGTATTAATTAAATCCGCGAGGATATCCAGGCTGACGGTAGTGTATTCATCAGTAGAAAAGAACTTGATTTTGTCTCGAGATCTAGTTTTGACGTGATGGTCATTGTTTGTTCAGGTATGTAACTTTTTCTCTTCGGTTCCTCGTGCCTCCTATAAACACAGGCTTTGATTTATGTCCACGGCCAGAAAGAAAACAAACGGGGGTTTAACCACACCGCCCCTCAATAATAATAAAAAAATGTTGTTCTTCCGATATTTATATTTGTTTTTCTCCTCTACAGACTACGGGTAAGTTTCTTATCCTTGAGCACGAATTGAAGGTAAACTCACAATACTACGTAGTGACGACAGAGGACGGACGTCCGACAGGTAACAGCGTTGAAGGAAATCGACTTGAAAACCACTTAACAACTGGCATTTTTAGGCGAAGTCGACGAAGTGGAAAGCACGTTTTTTGACTTGAGGGAGATGATTTCGATGAAGGACGTCATCGATTCCGAAGAAGAGTTCTCCGATGAAGTGTCGTACTGCTTTGCAGGCGATGGCCTCAAAAACGTTGCTTAGTACAGTAATTCCATCTTAAAATTGTTTTAAATAACGTCCAGGTTTAATTTGAAACAGTTGAGAAAAACCATCTGTTTTTTATTGTTTCTGCCAAACACAACTTTCAGCCTATCTACGTTGGTCCTAATATATTATATAATAATAAAAAGTTTAGGATATTAAGGATTTTTCTGATTGTTTCAGAAATTAAAAATATAGATTCATCTAAATTAAAAGCGATCTTATTTTATTTGAGATTATTCGACAATTCTTTATATTGACCTGTGACCGCACTTCATTTCAAACTTAGCCAAGTTCGAAAGTTAGTTAACAACTTTTTTCCATCAAAACGCTTGTAAAATATTCTGAAATTATACGAATTTGCATACTCGAGTTTTTCTATCTGACAAATGATAAAAGATTTTAGTTTTTCTGCAAATTGTCCAAATGATGTATTTTTTCTTATCTTCAATTTTGTAAAGGAAATGTAGACAATTTTTTGAAAATTGGGACCGCTACGGTGGCCGAGGGATTTGGCTGACTGATTCGTTTATGTTTCTCTAGTGGCTCTGAGATCGAATCCTGGCTTTGCCCATGGAATTTTTATTTCAATTTGACGTTTTGAATAGTTTGATGTTACGCTCTCCAGTACGACAGGAATTACTTAACCTTTACTTTATTTGGCAATTACAATTGTTTGCTTATTTATTTCTCTCTCTTTTCTGCCTGGAAAAGTAATAAAACATTAAAGAAATCCATGTATCTTGTGTGCAAAATGAATTTAAAAAATTAGAATAGACGTCCAAAAATCAGACAAATTTGGATGGGTTACTATTAAAATCAATTTAATATATTATTCTTTTTATGTAAGGTCTTAGTTGAGATGAAAAAGTTAGTGTCACGAACGGGATTCGAACCCACGACCTTCGGCTCAATACGCCGCTGTTCTAACCACTGTACTACGCTATTGTGTCTTCTGCTCAAATGGTTAGGTTCGTGGGACGGGTGAGACGAAGGTCGTGGGTTCGAATCCCGTTCGTGTCACTAACTTTTTTTTCTCAACCGAGACCTTACATAAAAAGAATAATTAATTGAAATGATTAGTTTGGTCAATTAGACCACTAAACACAAGAGGATTTAAAATCAATGTTAAATTTTCAATTTTAGTCATATTTCTACATGTAAAACTTTTTCAGTTTGCGTCACCAGGAAAGTGGCCGTTCTTTAACTATTTACTCAGATCAACCGTGTCTGACCCTGAAGCTGGCGCAGGACTTCAAAAACATCCACGGAAAGGAGGATGCGGTCTACAAGGAAAACAGCGGCGTGTGCTTCCAGACTGGCAACCTTCCAGATGCAATACGGCACGTAAGTTTCTCGAAATATATGCACGGTGTGAAAACAAAATTGAACAGATTTTTCTCAGACGTCCACTCGAAACTGTAGTACAAATACTGGCCACTTAATTCGAATCGTCTCGCGTATTCAGTATTGGTGTATTTGAGAATTGAGTTTTACGTCTCGGGGGAGATGCTGCCTGGGAAGTTTGTGTGGATCAATCTCAGAAATTGTATTGTATTAAGTACAAACTGTGATACCTCTGGGAAATTTTGCTATAATTATCAAGCAGAACCTCTTAATATATCAGAATAATATTTGTACCACATAACATGTTATATTATTACAAATGTAATACTTATAAAAGTGTTTTAACTTTTAAATCACTGTGAATGTAACGTGTATTTTAAAAATAAAATACATTGAAACTTTTGATAAGGGACTGCTCTGTTTAAGGCCACTTCCGTTTACAAGACAATAGCAGACCCACTGGCATGGAATAATTATTTTTCTATGTATTTAACACTTTTTCCTAGGGGTGGTGTAAACAAAAGACAAAGGAGCTGACGTGTCGACCTGTAGTTCATCGTCCTAGAATCTGTTGCCGTTGTACCAATTATAGCTAAAACCGGGTTTACTGGAACGTCGTTCATAATTTGAACCAAGTTCCGAGAAGAGAGCGTTGGACCTTCTGTAAGGAACTACCGTTCAATAGTCACAAGTTGGCAAAACTGATTTTGTCTCTTTGTACGGTGATCATAGTTATTCATTGTCGACACTGTTTGTTGTACTACACTTGCCGTGTTGTTATGTACCGCCTTTGGCATAAATTGATGAAGTCGTGAGGGACGGTCTAGAATAAGGTAGTTTAGAAAAACCGCTTTTTCATTTCTCTGCCGATGTTTCGACCTTTATTCGCGTCATCTTCAGGGAATAAAGTGTGAGGCTATTCTTGTGTCATGTTAGTTTTGTACAAGACTAGTACTACTCCACCACAAGAATAGTACTACACTTTAACCCTGAAGATGACTCGTATAAAGGTCGAAACGCGTTAGCAAAAAAATGAAAAAGGTATTTTTTCTAAACTACCTCATTCTTGACCGCTCTTCAAACTTCAACAAGTTATGTTAATTGTAAGGAAAAAAATTTGCAAAATCTTTTAGAACATCAGCAGTACTTTCTTTGGAACCAAGACTTATAAATATATAAAGAAGTACAGATTAGAGAGAAAATGCTTTCAATGAAGAAATTGATATTACTGGATCCATTTATGCAAAATTAAGGCCTTTGGCATAAAATTTATGATTTTTATAAACCTTTTTGTCTAATAATGACAAGATTTTATGGGTATAAAAACACATGGGAGATTAAATGATTTGAGGTATATCGCAAAAGACATACAAATCGCCGGACATACTACTACTGATTGGAAAAACACAATTACGACGAATAGAATCATGTATCAAAATAAATTTGATCAATTTGTATTGAAACGTGTAAAGAACCATCAATAGTTTAAGAGAACACATCTTTAAGAACATAAATGTCATATTATTACGAAACGGGCATCGTTTAGATCTGAACCCAGTTTATCACACGCTCGATGGCCGTTCAAAGTTGAACCAGGATCGTCCTTTGAACTCAGTTCAAGACATAATAGCCCATTCTTGAGTTTCTCAGTTCAGCATTGAACCAGGATCATCCTTTGAACTCGGTTCAAGACAAATTAAAAAAGCCCATTCTTGAGTTTCTCAGTTCAGCAATGAACCAGGATCATCGTATAAGAACATAATTTGATAAATTAAAGCTTTAGATAAAACTAGGAGAAAAAATTGAAAAGATCTTAGAAATTTAAAATGTACATCTCACTCTAGATCTACATGTAGTATTTTTACATATACGTCTCACGTGATAAAAATCTCTCTTTAGAGGATACTTATCAAAGGTAGTCAAAATTAGTTTTATCAAAAATGTCCATTAGTAAGAGGTTTTACTGCCTCACTAATAGTCAATAAATAATCTTGGGAATTAAAACGAAAAAAGGGCATATTGGCCATATACGGCTGTAATAAGAACCAAGATATACAAGATAAGATAAGTTTATTAACATGATGGACGAAAGATCAACAAAAACAACCTACCAAAAAATTAGGCACCGACTAATTTCATATATAATTTCACTTTTTGACCTAGATGGTTTTGGTCCGAGGATGAAGTATTGGTTACAATTTGTATCTTCTAGAATTCTTTGTTGTAAAAATTTTTCAATTGTGCTTCGTTTCTTGGTTTTCAGAGCTGCTTCCCATGCCCATTCCTTCTTCCAGGGGCGGAATACAGGCACACGATCGTCTGGAAATTCCGTGTTGACGGTCTCACCGACCCAGACGAGAGGGACGAGGCGTACGTCCGGGAAATGCGCCGCAGCGTGTCGCCGGTACCGCCTGCTAAAACCAAATCCGAGGAGATTCCCGAGCAGGGTGAACTGAAGAAGCTTGATTCGAAGATGTCCCAGCAGGTGAAATACCTAGACGTCGCCCCTTCGGAGGACAATATCGTCGAAGAGTCAACTTCGACCGTACGCGAGACGAAAACCGTTTCGTCGGTGCGAGAGAACAAAATAAACACGACTGTCCGTGAACGTGAACAATAGACGTCAAAAGACATCTCCCGAAAAAGTCGTCTTTTTTATATATTCCTTATTCTGGCTTTATTTGGTTGAGAATAAATTGTTCAATTTCGACTTATTGAATGATGCTTTGAATAAGTGTTGATATTCTATAAAAAAGAGTGGGGAAAAGAGAAACAAAGATTTAGCGGTAGGTACAGAGTACGAAAGTAGAGATAGGAAGTGATTGATATATCGAGAGATTGGGTGAGAAAGAGAGTAAAAAGAAAGAAAGAGAGAGAATACGCAAAAAAGACCAAGAAAGAAAAAGCAATTAAAAAAGGGAGTATAAGTTATAGAGAAAAAGGAGAGATACACAGATTGGCAAAGACCGACAAAAAGTGGAGGATTGAGGAAAAGGGGTGTGAGAGCGAGAAAGAAGAAGAGGGAGAGATTGAAAGAGAGTATAAGAGTTGCAGCAAGAGAAACGGGAAGAAAATGAAAATTAAGAAAAATGCGAGAGAGGGTGAGTAAGTGAGAGAGAGAGAGAGAGAGAGAGAGAGAGAGAGACAAAGAGAGAGACAGAGAGAGAGAGAGATTGACATATAGAAAGAGAGAGAGAGAGAGAGTATGAGAGATTGAAAAACACGGAAAAAAGAAAGAGAAAGCAACCGAGCAACCGAAAAAAAGAGCATGATTCATAAAGAAAAAGGGGAGAGACAAAGAAAAAAGAGGAGATGTGCAGAATGACAAGGTCGACAGAGAGTACGAGAGATAGAAAAGTGGAGAAAAAAAGAGATGATTAGATATTGAACAAAGAGAAAGGGGGAAGAGAAAAAAGCGAGTATGAGAGATTGAAGAAAAGAGATGAGAGAGCGAGAGAGAAGAAGATGGGGAGACAGAAATAGAGAGAAGAAGAGAGCATAAGGGTTGAACATTAAAAAAGGAGCAACAGAGATAAGGAGAGAAGAGAGAGAGAGAGCGAGAGAGAGTTTTATATAGAGAGAGAGAGAGAGAGAGAGAGAGAAGAGAGAGANAGAGAGAGAGAGAGAGAGAGAGAGAGAGAGAGAGAGAGAGTGAGAGAGAGAGAGAGAAGTGAAGTGTATTTCTTCTTTCTTTGTCTTGTTTCTATCTATCTGTCTATTTTTCTATCATTATCTCCCTCTCTCTCTTTCTGCATTATTCTGTTCACTTAGAAATATTCACGTAAACTTTATAACCTAATATAGAGTGTAGAGAGGAGGAGAAAATTATAGGGTGTGTGTCAGAGGGAGAGAGAAAATTTGTTCAAGATTTACCAAGTATCGTCTCTCGTTAAGAAGGAGTTCCGTTATTCAAACAAGTTGAACAAGTAAGTATCATCCATGTTTTACAGTTTATGAATAAACAGACGTCTGACGTGAGGGAATGATTGTCAAAAATAATGAATGGGTAGTGCCAAGCTAAGCCCGACGTTAAATTAACTAAGAACCTGGAGGGCGGATAAATCCCGGAGATTATGCCGTGACTGACAGAAAGGCTTATCTTCCGCATCTCCCTGTTTAATGCCGCTCGTATAGCGCTTGTACATCCTTTAGATGTCAATAAAAAAGGTCCGTAAGACGTCTTAGAAAGAAAAAATGAAAATGGAGCAGACTGGGTATTTACAAAGTTCTTCTTCTTAAAAAGTTTGTACTTTGTTTTTCCTCAATAACTTCATTTTGAAGTCACACTACTTGACAAGGCCTATATCTTTTGTAGTCGGTGTGACTTTGAGACGATCCCTTCCCATTACGATTGAGTCGGAGCAATTTCAGTTACACTGTTATGAATTTAGGCTTGGCAAAGAAGTTTGTTTAGGGCTGGTCTCGATTTTCCCAGAGACTTTCGGCATCTCCGAAGTCAAATCACCCTAATTCCGAAACGTCTGAGTAAGTTAAAAGTCAACAGTTTTCTTCTGTTGAAATATTTACAACGGCATAATTGGAATGGAACTGTTTATGTTCAAATAACAAACTTTGTCGTTTTAATATTAATCGGTTTTTCTATCTTTGAAGTTTTCAAATAAATAAAACATGATTTAAGACCGCGATCCTTATACAAGGAATATAAAAGCCCAAATTCATATCGAATATTGTTTGTTTGTGCTGAATGCTAAAAGAAAATTTAAATAAAAAACAAAAGCTTACGATCTGACGTGGACTGTATCAACAAAGGAATCACTAACTGGTGGTCGTAGCGAGGTTGGGGCCACGTTGCAACGACGTAGAAGGACTTTTGGTTCAAAAAGCGAAGAATAGGCTGGGAAATTTGAGAAATGTTAAAGGAAAATTGAAGGGGAATATGAAAGGTGCTCACGAGAGAGGATTTTTAAAAAGTGGAAGAGAAGTGAGCCGAGACGAGGGCTTTTTTTTCATGGCTTCATGTTCTTTGCATACTAGCCAATGACAATGTTATTATTTTTTTTTTTTTGGGGGGGGAGAAGGGTATCATGAAAATAAGTCCGGAGGGCAACGGCGGGAATCGAACCCACGACCGCGGGGTCTACGAGCCGAGAGTCTCACGCTAACCACTCGGCTCTCAAAAACTGAAATTACTACTTTACCGTTGAGATTTCGACAGGGTTTTATAGGATGTTTTTTGTTGCATATGGTGAGTAGAAAAAGCTCATGAAATTTTCGACACTTATCGCCAGTCACGCTGTAGTGAGAGGGGGAAGAGTTGGAAAGAGAGAGAGAGAGAGAGAGAGAGAGAGAGAGTGAGAGAGAGAGAGAGAGAAAGAGAAAGAGAAAGAGAAAGAGAAAGAGAAAGAGGGTGAGAGGGAGATAGAGAGAGAGAGAGAGTGAAAGAGGGAGAGAGAGAAAGAAAGAGAGTGAGAGGGAGATAGAGAGAGAGAGAGTGAAAGAGGGAGTGAGAGGGAGAGAGAGAGAGAGAGAGAGAGAGAGAGAGAGAGAGAGAGAGAGAGAACGAGAAGAGGGTTTTCGTTCGCAATAGATTCGTACTGGGAGACAGAGAAATCACAACTTTTTCTTCAACACTATCTCTCTCTCCTTCACTCATTCAATAATTATTCTTGTATATAACTATATCTCTTTTTATCTCGTTCACACATTTTAACGTTTACTGTCTCTCTTCCTCTCCCTCTCTCTCTTTCCCTAATATGTATATATATATANTATATAAGACCTATACTTATCATATCTTTTTCTCTTTCTATATTTCTGTCGCTCATAATGTATTTTGATCATTCCTCTATCTTTCTCTTCATCCCTTTTTCTCTCTCCTTCACCCACTCAATAATTATTCTTGTATATAACTATACATTTCTTTTTACCTTTTCATACATTTTATCGTTTACTTACCGTCTCTCTTCCTCTCTCTCTCTCTCTCACTCTCTCTCACTCTCTCTCTCTTTCTCTCTCTCTAAGTTCTATCTATCTATTTCTATTTCTCTCTCTCTCACTCTTTTTTTATCTCTCTCCCTCGCTCTCTCTCTCTCTCTCTCTCTCTCTCTCTCTCTCTCTCTCTCTCTCTCATTTAGTATATTACAAATTAGCGTTTACTTTATTTAATATTTACGAAGTTAACTCACATCATTTACTTTATTTACTTTTACATATTACTTTTATTATGCTCTTTTTATTATATATTTTTGCATTAACTTGTAAAACGTTAATAATCATTTTATTAGTATTTTATTTCATTTTGTAATCGTAAAATTATGTTCCAATTCTAGTAGGTTCTAATCTACTTTGTATGAACCTTACGAAAAATTACAATTAATAAGGTTTTTCGGTTTCGGAAAAACCTTATTAATTGTAATATATTAATTGGTCAAGCGGACCACGAAATTAGTGAACTTACGAAAAATCTATAACTACGTTTGTTACTCAACAATAATAAGCTCTGTATAGAAAATGTAACTTAGAAATTCAATTTACTTTCACTTTATTCATTTAGTTCATTGTTTTCCTCTTTCTCTCTCTATTTCTATTGCTCATACTCTATTTTTATCATTCCTCTACAATTTTCTTCATCTCTTTTTCTCTTTGATTTACTCACTCAATAATTATTCTTGTATATAATTCCATTTCTATATCTCTTTTTATTCCTTTGACACATTTTATCGTTTACCGTCTCATTTTCTGTCTTTCTCTTTCTTTCTCTATCTCTCCCTCTTTCTCTCTCTCTCTCTCACTCTCTCTCTCTCTCTCTCTCTCTCTCTCTCTCTCGCTTACTTTTTGTTTCTATTACTTCTTTCTTTCCATCTGTATTTCTCTTGCACTTCATTTTTTTTGTTATCTTTATTTATCATTTTCAATTCCCTCTCTCTTAACACCATCTCTCACTCATTTTTTTCATGTAAGAACAATCGTTAGCGGCATAGCTTTGCGAAATTGTTTACACGAAATAAAATTGATTCATTTGTTCGTTCAATCATTATTCATATACATATATCTAAGATCTCTATATCTTTTTATATTTCTCTTTATCTCTCTCTAAAAAATTCACTGTCTTAAATTAACTTCTTTTGTTGTTTTTCTTTTCTTTTAGTTTTTTATAATACTATTTATTGGGAGAATTTTTATTTCTCGATTTATATTGACAATTTATAATTCATGATTTGTACTGAATTGTATTGAAAAAGTATTTTTGTTCATTTATTTTATTAGTAATTACTTTTTAATTTCTCAATTATTCTGTAAATTAGAATATTTATTTCAATAGGCAATTTGAAGTAAATACATGTTTAGTTCAATGTAAAACGAATCGAATCGAAGTAATTAATGTTTAGTATATTAGAAGTAGAGTGTACATAGAAACTATGGTATTTTATGTAAGAATGGTCCTTGAGAATTTTGTGTGACTGATAAATAAAGCGTTCATCGTCATCATCTATTTTTTCAAGTATCTTTTTCGCCTCGTTGAAACATAATGTGAATTTAAAAAACAAGAAATTTTTCAGGATCCAATATCAAAAATATAACAATATCTCATGTGTTCTCTCTTTTTTCAACAGCCTTTGATTAGGTTCTAACGTGAGAGATATCCATGGCCCGTTTATTGGGAATGTCCAATTTTTATCGTTTAATAGGCGGCTGTCATTGGGCAGGAGGGGAAACGAATTAGCGAAAGATTAAAAAAGAACGCTGCCCTGTCAAATT